TATATTAAAACATGTTTTCAGAAAATGATGGGGAGTTGGTACAAGTACAGGGCATTTAACCCTTCAATGCCTAGCGATCCATTTTTGGAACGCCCAGAGTAATGAAATGTGTTCTCTTCAAATTCCTGTTCCTTGAATTTTTTCTAGCTAACATATATGAATTTCATGCAAAAATGCAAATACAAAAAGTTCAATCTTCAGCATAAATAACATGTTTTCAGAAAATGATGGGGAGTTGGTACAAGTACAGGGCATTTAACCCTTCAATGCCTAGCGATCCATTTTTGGAACGCCCAGAGTAATGAAATGTGTTCTCTTCAAATTCCTGTTCCTTGAATTTTTTCTAGCTAACATATATGAATTTCATGCAAAAATGCAAATACAAAAAGTTCAATCTTCAGCATAAATGGGTTCTTTTTATTTCCCATCCCCTCCCTCCTCCCATCTCCCCTTCCCACCCTCTGTTGTTCCCCTCCGCATTTGGAAAATATCTCCTTTTTTCCATTATCTATGTTTTTTTTTGTTTTTCTCTTTAAATTACTTATACTTTGTTTTTCTCATATAAGAGAAATCTTGTGATATTTAAGCTTGCATGTCTGATTTATTTCACTTAATTTTATGGTCTCAAGGTGCATCCAGACTTGTAAACCGATCGCTCTTTGCCATCACTGGCCGAACCGGCCTGGAAGAGGGAGTGGGGCGGGTGGGCAGGAGCAGGGATCTTCCGTGCTGTGCAGTTCGGTTCCGGAACCCTGGACTGCGTCCTTCACTGGGTGTCGTTCTGTCCGGAGCCCGCAGCACAGCGCCCCCTCGCGGCCTCCTCCCGCCGGCGCGGGCATTGGATTGGGGAAGCAGAGCCCCGGATCCCAGACCCGCCTCGGGGATCCCCGGAGTAGGGCAACACAATCACCTGGGGACCACTAGAGACTGCAAGGGGATCTAAGCATTGTTGGGGAGTCCAAAGCGCCCGAGGTTGCGGTTTTCTTAGCCTGGTTTTACATCCTCAATAAATTTTCGGGGAAAGATGGGGCAGGGGTGGAGGGTGGTGGAGGCGCCCGGAGTTTCTTGCACCTGCTCTCCCGCCGCGCTAAATCAGCGTGGAGCCAGTGAAGTCTCCCGCGGCCCGGCCCCTCCAAGGGCTCCTCTCTCCTTTGTAACACCCAACCGGGTCAGTGTTTGCAGAGGTTTCTGGGCCCTTCAGGGTTATGCAGCGTCTCGCTGTGAGGACCTTGGCCCAGCCGCCTTTCCCCTCTCCTTGCCCCTTACAATGCTCCGAGGAAAACACTCGGACAGGCCCTTTCCTTTTTTTGTCTTATCCGACCCAGAAGTATAAAACACGCAGGAAAGGACTTTAGAGATGATTCGGTTCTACTTCAATCCAGTCCGTCTGCCTTCAGCCTAAAGGATGATGCGGGAAAGCTTCAGAGGTCCAGGGTTAGTTTAGTTGGCAAAACCAGGAGTAGAACAGGAGAATCCCTAGGGAGGATTAATTTCCTTCCTTCCTTCCTTCCTTCCTTCCTTCCTTCCTTCCTTCCTTCCTTCCTTCCTTTTTTGGTACCAGAAATCGAACTTGGGACCTTGTGCTTAAGAGGCGGTGGTGGAACCACTGGGCTAAATCTCATGCTGGCTTCCTCACCTACCTTCCTTCCCCCCTTCCCCCCTTCCTTTCCGTTCCCTCCCTCCTGCTCTTTTCCTTCCTTCCTTCCTTTCCTTAAAATCCAGCCAGAATAGTCCTCATCTAGAAGCTATGGGATCACCAGCCTTTTGGATCTTGTGGGAACTCTTTGTCACTTGGGCGACTCCTTTTTTGGGCCTAACCTCTAACAGCATCTTTATGGAACTATTTTTTATGGTTCCATCCTTTCCCTAGTTGACAGATTTATTTATTTGTTTTCACATTTTTGATGAGCTGAGATCAGTAGTAAACGTATGGAGGACCAGAAATGCCACCAAAATGTCAGTGTTGCAGTTTGGTTCTCATTCTTTTTTCTCCCTCTTCAAGTGCTTGATCTTGTTACCTGAGCAAGCAGCCCATCAGACAGGAGTGAATGTTTATTATAGCTTTTCAAGTCTGTGAGTGAAACTAGAAAGAATTGAATTTTATTCCTTCACTTTACAGTCAAGGAGTCCAACGCACTGGAAGGTGAAGAGATTTAACCAATGGTTCATACACAAGGGAGAAATCAAATTTTCACCTTGGCATCTGCCCACCGATGCTTCGCTTCCTCTTCTTGCTCTTGATCCTTTTCTGCCCGATTGGTGGTTAGACTGTTAGGAAAAGAGTGGTCTGAACGTGGATAAAATTTGGTCCTTGAAACGTTAAACTCAATACGGGATGGGAGTAGAGGGTGGAAAGTTCTTCAGGGTGTGGGTTTACTGTTCCCTCCATCCAGAGGCCCAGGAGGAGTTGCAAGGAGGTACACTGTGTCTCCTGATGTGGCCACGAGCCACATACCCTTTCAGTGGCTGCCTTCCATGGCAAGGCTACCAATCCCTTGAGTGGAACCCAGGTCCCAGAACAACCCCAAGTCCCCACCTCCCCCAGGACCATTTGGAACCGGCACTGAGAAGTCTAGGAAATCTGCAGTTGCCTCATCTCCTGGTTGCTTTATGACCTGCAAATGAATTGAGCCACGTTACCCAGCCTGGAGGCTGGAAGCTGCCTGGGGGCTGGAACAGGCAGGCTGGCAGATGGACACTGCAAAGATGCAGGCAGATTGCTTCACAGGCCTTGCTTCTGATTCTGTTTCACACTGCAAAGGGCACATTTAATAATCCGTGAAGACACTGAGCTGGAGGGGAAGTAACTGTGGCCTCTTGGGTCCCAAACAGCCACTCAGAGCTGTATGTCCCTCTAGATGTCCTTCATTAATTCCTCAGAGTTCCCGTTTTCCATCTGTAAATATACAGGCGTAGACTAAGTGACCCTTTCAGTCTTCATTGTCTCTGATTTAAACCTTGCTTTCCGCCAAGGAGGGGTCAGAGCCCAGACAGAAGTATCCTTTGCTTGGGGGACACACAGAGCAGGCACAGGAGGAACAGTTTTAACTTCCTGGTAGAGAAGTTGTCTCTCACAAGCTCCTCTCCTTTACCTCCACCCCCATTGACTGTGACAGGTCATATATTTGATTATGCAAAGTAAATTGAGAAATATCTCCGCAGTCCCATCTGGGATTATTTATTTCCCTGGGTCTGCAGCCTGTCATAGTCCAGAGACGACAATATGCGGAGGAGCTTTGCATGAGATGAGGTGGACTCAGGTCATCTCTGGAGAAACCAGAGACTTTAAGAGCCACAGCAGAGCCCTTCTCCCAACAGGCCCTGAAGTTTCCACAGACCAGTCAGGGCCTGGGGATGGAGGAGAGCTCCTACGGCCCCCTTCCTCACCTGGAGGTGTGAGACTTCGAGGTTGGGCAAGGTCAGGAAGCAACCAAGCTTCTAAGAAATTCCCCCCTAAGTTTAGAGCTCTCTGTAGTTCATGTTGGGGAGGCAAAGTGATAACAATAAAAATAATACAAACAATTCTTGAATATGGAATGCTTAGTGTGGGTGGGCCACCTTGTCACGGAGCCTCCTCCTTTAAAGTTGGGCCCACTTTTGAGGTAAGGTGAGGCAGAGAGGAAGCTGAAGATCCCTCAACACCCCACTGTACCCCTGTGACTGACAGGACCGAGATCGATGGGCCATCAAGCTGAACAGTCCCTGAGCCCTGGAGGGGCGACCCTCGAAGACAGACTCAGCTCCAGGAGGGAGACGACAGGGCCAGGCAGCACGGGGCTGGAGAAGCTGGTGGTCCCAAGTGGGAGGGATCCGAGCCCCTGTCACCAGGCCGGAGGGCAGCTGCGGAGCTGTGTGGTTCAGTGGTCAACCAGACTCAGCCTGGGAACTGGATGATTGAAATGTGCTTCTATCCTTGATTTATTTTTATTTTTCAAGAGGAGTCAGGAGAGAAAAAGAAAAAAAAGAAAAAGAAAGCTACCATACCAAGAAAAGAAAAAGAACTTTGCTCTCTTGCTGTTTTTGTCTCGTTTTCCAGGTTGAGCTTGCTAAAGGGGGGCTTCTCTCTGGGTGGGTCGGAGCAGTGCAGGGACAGGGAAGGGTGCAGAGCGAGAGAAATTTGGAGGAAACAGGATCGGGGAGAATGGGGAGAGGCCTCAGCCGCTGCTCCAGAGCCAGCTGGGAGAGGAGCAAACCTTGGTGGCTGCCCCCACCCAGCTCAACAGCCTCCCACAGCTTGGTAATTTACCCAGGGGCTCTGAGTTGAACTTTGTAATTTGGTGTCGGTTTACAAGCCAGAAGGACTTCTGTTTCCTCACCCAACTGGTACTCAGACTGGGCCTTTTCTTGCATCCTCCTCTTTCAGTAAAGCCTCAGAGGCTCAGCGGCCAGGTCCTTCCTCAGGCTGGAAGTGGTTCCACTGCCCAGGAAAGGAATGTCTATGTCCCTTCTCATTATTACCCAGTCTTCATAATGAGAAGGCCAGGAAAGGCTACTCTTCCCATTGTGCAGATGAAGCAACTGAGGCACAGAAAGATAAGTGACCAGCTCAGGTAGCCAGTGGAACAATCACCCAGCTGGAGCCCAGGCTCCCTGACCCCTATTTCTTCAGAACATTTAGTTTGCTAAACAGTTTGTGCAGATATAGTCTTTTTATAACCCAATCAAAGGGCGTTTTCCTCCAGGAAAAAAAAAATGCACAGAACTTCGCATTCAGTATGGAAGTCATCCCAGGATAGACCTCCACTGGCCTCCCCTAGTGTATCTGGCTTCCCAGTGACTGGGGGCGGGGGTGGGGAGTGGTGGGGTGTCTCTGGAGGCCCTGGGGCTGGAGGACGGGGTGTAATTCAACAGGATCCTGACCACAGCTGCAAGTCCCCAAGTGCACAGAAGGGAAAGGGAAGGGCGCGTGGCAGGGTGTGCGGAAGGAGCAGTGCGCTGTGCTGCCAGTTTTCACTGAGGGGAGGAGAGCTTCCTCTGGAACCCCTGGGGCACAGCGTTCCCCAGGTTCCCCAGAAGGATCCCCCCAAGCGAGGCCCGGGGCAAGCCAGTCCTCTCAGCCAGAACACTCCCAGGCCACCTCAGTCCCGTCTCTGGTCTTGGCTTCTCCTGTCATGGTTTACTGTACACACATTCTATTTGTTTTCTCCTTGTACAGTTTTTAAAGCTCAACTAGTTCCAGGGCTGCTGGGCTTTCACAGTTTACTTTCAGTTCGGGAAACTGCTGCCGACACCCCTTTCCTCTCCGATTCCCTCTCAGGTCCCCCCTTTTCTTCTGTCTAGTTCCTCAAAGGTAGCCAAGCTGTGTTCTGATTTTGTTAATATTTAAAATCACAGGCGAGGGGCTAAGGATTTCGGCTCCTTACTCCCACAACAGGCCGTCAAAGCAACAAATAAAAGCCCAGTCTGCCAACCCAGTGCTCGCTGGCAGCAGAGCTGGAGGTGCAGGGTATGGTTTGCTTCCAGTCTCCCAAGGAAGCCCTGGAACGCCAGTTTACAAAGGTAGAAATGTAGCTGGCAGGGAGAGATGCCAAAACCCGGGGAATGATTTCATAAAAAAGTACTGGGTCCGGTTACAGGATGGCCTTTTTCTAAGACCAGGTACTAAAGTCAGAGGAGACTAGCAAACGGAAGCAAAATAAAATAAAACATCGAATTGAAAAGAAACCCCTGCAAACCTACTGTGAGTAGCTAGGGACTCAGCAAAGTTTCTGAGACTTTGGGGTAGAGGCAGATCTAGGACCACGGTACTCCTGCCTGTCCACAACTCTCCTGGCGACTACAGGGCTTCTCCGGGTTTCTCCGTGAACCCCGGTTTGGTCATGGAAAAACCGGGGATAAAAACACATTTCTGCTGTGGTCAAGAATTCAAACGCTCCAGTGGAGGTGAAAAACAAAAGCGCTCCAAAGAGATAAGAAGTTGCACAAAAGCTAAAACTCTTGTTATCAGATGGTACCAAGCAAGAGGCACCGCAGGTCCGTCCCGGTGACCCTTTGTCCCTCCTCGGCGCAACACTCCTCTCAGGAGCCACTAAAAAGTCCATGGGAATCTGACAGAGGACTTCTGCTTTCGTCCCTGGACTTCGCCAGCAGCTCTGGGAGCCGCAGCACACAACTGGGAATCCAGTACCTGTCACCGGGAGAAACTTCCCACAGCCCCAAGGGCTGAGGCTTCCTGAACTTAAGGGCAGGTTTCACAGTAATCTCCTCACTGCCCGTGTCTCTCCTATTCTGAGCCAGGTTAACTTCTAACATTGGGACAGCTCAGAGAAGAGGAACGTTTGAATCCGTCCAGCAGTTTCCTCGATCGGTCGATCCTTCTCAGGCTTACTATGTGCTCAATACAATGGCAGCCAGTTTTCCGATCCGTTTCCCAAACCGATCCTGTTTCAGTGGGCTTGATTGTTTAAAAGTGGAACTAGAAAAGCGTCTATATGTGTTTAAATTTGGCCCAAGAAACAGAATACAGAGCTGAATTAGGGGACTAATGCTTTCTTTTTGATTTGCTGGAAATTTAATTTTGTTTTCAATATTTTCGCAAGGGATTTTTGAGGGAGATGGAAGAGAATTATGCTTAAATGAACTCATGCATACTGAAAAGCAGTCATCTTTGTACTAAAGATCTTTGTGTGCTTAGAGTGAATATATCGAACCTGAATTTCGTCATGGCCTCTACATCCTCTCCAAAATTAACTTTAAAGCTATCGACTTAGCAGAAAAATCGGAGTGACTTGTAGTTGACTTGGCCACCTGCCTCACGAGCTCGGTGAAATTTAACGAGAGAAACTGTTTTGCGCTTTGAGGATGAGCGACGCTGTCCATAAAGATATCTATGGTCATTTGTATGCTAAGCACTGTGGTGCAAGGTAACCACTGATTTATCCTTACCACAGAAAGAAGGCAGGGTCTGTGCACCCACTGCAGTGGCCGCATCTCTGCACCAAGCTTTGGGGCCACTGCTGAGTCGCAGAAACACTGGAGATGCTGACAATAGAAGCCCACGCTAACCTTTCTGATCTTTGCCTCGTCATTTTCTCTTGTAGGCAGTGCGATTCGTAAGAGTGTCTCCGTGTGTTTCTGGGTCCGCCAGATAAATGCTCCTTCTTCCCCGCAGGCACCGTTCTGCTTCAGGTTTAGCTTCTGCTGTATAGACCCGGATGCAGCGAAGGCTCAGCGGGGCGGACTCCGGCTGAGCTCTACTGGGTGGAGGCGGCAGGGAGGAGGAGAGCGCCAGTCCGAACGCTTCACCCAATCAGCATACACACCGTCTGACAACCGGCCAATCAGAGTGCGCAGAGCTTGGGGCCGAGCGGTTAATACTAGGAGGGGGAGCCGAGGCGGGAGGCCAGAGCCGGAGGCGCAGCACCAAACGCAGCTGAGTGAATCTGTCCGGGGAGCCCGAGGACGATCCGAGCCAGGCCGGCGATCTGATCCGAGGCAGGCCAGGGGCTGCCTGACCTTTCCGCCTCAGCTTGGGTCCGAGGAAGCTGCAAGCGGCTTCAGCAAAGCGCAAAGCCCCAGGCTGCAGAGGCCCCCTAAGAACTTTGCAGAGTTCAGCATGTGTGGAGCAAGGTGGAGGAGGAGGACCTGACTCCTCTCCTCTCCCTCCCCCCCCTGCACCCCACCATCCTGGGCGCTTCGGGCCTCCAGGTGTCAGATCTGATTTCGTGCCAAAGGGTGTCGATCCCGATTTCCTCGTGCATGCACAGCTTGCAGCCTAAGAGCCAGGTCTTAAAGCTGGATGTCTTTTGACTCCACTGCTAGCCCGGGTGTCAACATTTTGGTGAGTGCGGTGATGCCCTCCGGGTAGGGCTGGGTGGGGACCACTTTTCTTTACCTTTTCTGCTTTACTTGGATGCCTTACCGAGGAGTGTAAACCAACCTCGTCCCCCGCTGCTGCCGCTCAGCCCCAGGGGTCAGGGCCAAGTGCAGTGTTACTGAGACATCTGAGGCTTCCTGCCGGCCTCTCTAGTTCTCTGAGGACAGCAGAACGTTTTCCGGTGGATTATCTAGGGGGTGGGTGCTCCTCAAGGCCAGAGTCCTTATGGTGGTGTAGGCTGATGAGAGGCCTTTGGCGAGCATGGAATGGTCTGGAAGGTCCCCTGTCATGAAAGAAAAAAAAAAATCCCTCCACTGACATTTGTATATCTATGACGGCCGTGGGCATGGGTAAGGGAAAGCCTGACAAGTGGTCTAGGCCAGCCTCGTGGGACACAGTGCTTTGCGAGGTCAGCGCGTTACTTAGAGACCTGTCCGGAAGGCCCAGGTAAAGCCAGGGACGGCTGTGGTTACAGGTGCTCACAGAGGACTTAGAGTTAGTAAAATAAACTCCTGGTCGGGCGCAGATCCCTGGGCCCCTGCGAGGTCCCCGAAGACACCTGTGGGGCACGCAGAGAACAGGGACTCGAGGAAAGAGGACGGAGGCGCAGGCACGGTCCCTGACGGGGCGGGCGGCTCGGGTCTCTTTGTGTTGTCCATAGGGTGTGGGCGTCGGAGCCGAGGAGGCCCTGCGCGCCATGGCGGACCGGCTAGCAGGCCCGGGGGCCGGGGACTGGGAGATCGACGTGGAGAGCCTGGAGCTGGAGGAGGAC